TGTACTTTGATTTTGGTTTGACTTTCAGGATTTGAATTCAGATTAAGTAAAGGAACGCATGCGCAATCTCAGTTTAATCTTCTTTGACCGTGTGAAAGCAGATTTGTTTCGGAAAAGGATTTGCATCTGGGGGCGGGGAAGGTTGGGAGGAAGGCAGTATTGTATGCAGTTTGATTGGGTCGTTAAGGGTGGGAGGTCCCCATAAGTTTGGGGTAGCCTAGCGCTTTGTTTACTTCTGGTTTGCATGGAGCCTCAGGCCGCTCTATAAGTTTAGGTAACCTGAAGCTCTGGAGGCTGGGGTGTCCCCATAAGTTTGGGGAGACCCAATGTTGTGAACTGTATGGAGAGTCAGGACGCTCTATAAGTTTAGGTGACCTGACTGCTCTGACTTGCGAGGGTTGATTGTGCTTGACTTTCAGGGGCTCAGGGCGCTCTATAAGTTTAGGTACCCTGGGTCGCCTTGTTTATTTGGGAGCTCTCTCTGTTTCTTTGGTTCTGAACGAGGGGGGTCTGAACCGCTCTATAAGTTTAGGTGGTTCTGAGGAAATGATTCTGGCAGGGGACAGGCCGCTCTATAAGTTTAGGTAGCCTGGCCTACTGCCTCGCACAGACTGGATCAGAGAGGAACGAACCTGGCAGAAGATCAGACCGCTCTATAAGTTTAAGGAGTCTAGTCCAATGCCTCACACATGTTCGAACCCAATGGTTATAACCTGGCTATATTGAACTATTATGTTATTAATAACAGACTAGTCAGACCGCTCTATAAGTTTAGGTAGCCTGACTATAGCTTATCACAAATGAAGAGAGTATAATTAAGGGGTATAACTGAAGGTAAACTTGGGCAGGCTGAGCAGTATTCTAAGTTGAGCGGCTCAAACCTATGTCCCTTTTCAAGGTTAAGTTCATATATATATATATATATAACTTGGATATTTAAAACAGTTGAGGGCGACTAGAATGGTCTAGTCATGTGCCCAAAGAAGAGAAAAGTAGTTGTGCCCTCTGTTTGTATATACTTGGCTAAGTCAGAACGCTCTATAAGTTTAGGTATTCTGACTTTAGACCTGGCTAAGTTGGGCGCGCTCTGTAAGTTTAGGTGGTCTGACCTATGCCTTATGTAAGCTAGGTATAAAGGGTTGAAGCATTGAAAGATCATGAACTATTGTTTGTTTTGGTATACCTTAGGATGGCGAGAGTACTTACCTTTGTGGTTTGGCCTACATGTGACTGAGTGAGGCTACTACTTGGTTTGAGTTTCAGTCGATAGGTAGTCGCTTTAGTCGCTCGTCATGTGCTAGAGTCATAAGGGTTAGTTTCAATTCCTGCATTTTCTGAGCTAAGTTTTTTCACTTAGATCAATTCTCGCATTTTCTGGGATCATTTATTATACTTGGCTTTGTATAAATTTTGGCAAGCTACTTTCTCTACGGGAAGCGCTGCCGAAATTTCTACAAATTCAAGGAGTTAGTCAACTTTTGACTTGTCAAAGTTCAACTTATATATTCTTTATATCTGACTTAGTAAAAATTTGGAAAGTCTCCTTTTCTAAAGGGAGTGCTGCCCAAATTTTTGTTAATTCAGGGAGTTAGACAAAATTGGACTTTGAGAAGTCAAAGTTATTTTCAGATTCTGAACTTAGCCTTGTATAAATTTTGGAATAGCCCTTTTCTAAAGGGAGTGTTGCCGAAATTTCTGCAAAACTAAGGAGTTAGTTAAATCTTGTCTAAATTGAACTCGAGTTGTCTTTTGAGTTCATATCTGACTTAGTATAGATCTGGGAAGTCTCTCTTTCTAAAGGGAGTGCTGTCCAAATTTCTACTAATTCAGGGAGTTAGACAGAATTTGACTTTTCAGAGTTGGATTTTATTTCTGCTTTCATATTTGGGCTGATATAAATTCTGAAAAGACACTTTTCCTACGGGAAACGCTGCCGAAATTTTCTTGATTTAGAGGAGTTAGATTGTATTTTGACAGGTGGTGATTCTGGCGATCCACCCTGTATAGGGGAGACTATGCCAGGGTTTGCCTTTGCTTTGGGCATTGCTTAAAGGTAGATTCAGGCATAGTTAACTAGGAGGATTGGAGTGAGAATGTGTTATGGAGTTTGTATTCTCCATACACGTATGATTTCAGCTTGGGGATTGACCTGTCATGTGTTACAGGTCCTCTTGATCGTTTGATTCAGGATTKKRACTAGTTTCAGCTTGATCCTACAAGGATCACATTCTGTTATCACTGATAACAGATCGGTTGCCGATTCGTCGGTTTACGATTCAACTCCAATTCACTCYTGCCACTCAACCTAAAGGCTTTAGCCTTGAAATTTGAACTATTTTGTTGTGTTTTTACCCGGACTTTATTGAATGGTCATCCAACAAAAGTACTGAGTATTTATTTAAGAGTTGCACGAGTGAGGCTTGTATGGCTAAGGCAAGGGGTATGAGTGCAAAGAATGATTGAAGTTAACCCCGTGTAGTGCGTCGACTTCTGGTTGAATCTTTGATGTGATTGCAAGTGCGTTTGTGGTTCGGACTCTGGATGTGATTGTCTGCGATTTCATACATATATGGCTGAGAGGAGCCCCATTGTGACTGTGAGAAGTGATCGTCCTATAAAATTAACCCTTATATGTTTATAAGTGCCCTAAGTGTTTGAGAGGCCACTGTGAGTGTGCATAAGGGTTAATCAGATTGTGTCCCGAGAGAAAAGGGGGATTCCCTTTTTACCTTTGCTTTTTAGAAGATTTTTATAGTCGGACGTTGGTCCTAGGCCGGGATTCAAGGTCCTTGTCCAAGACATCCCGAGCCCTAGACTCTGCAGGGAAGGAATCTGCCCCCGTGCAGAGTCTATTTGCCTTGCCTACCGAGACGCTCAGACCAAAGGCCGGAGGTCTCGCGGCGGCTGCACGACTATTCCTTCAGTCGTGCAATGTCGTGAAGGACTAGACCCTCACGACACTTCGAGTCTGACACTTGAGTGTCATAAGCGGTACTCAGATTCACGAGGGACCGCTTGATTATGGGCACTACATAGTACGCCATCATTGTCACTGCTTGCGTAGGCCTGCATTGCGAGTCGATATGAGTAGGCCCTGCGTCCGCGCGGTTTTATACTAAGTCTTGCGCGCAATGCCTATCCGATTTCCGCATCGGAAAGTTATGGGATGACTACCGAGGGGTTAGGAGCGTTGTCGCGTGGTTCGTGTTATGTCGTTCCGTGTGTAAGTGTGTGCGTTGTGGTCTTGTGGGTGGAAGAGTGGTGTGCGCGTGGTGTGTGGGATGCGTCCTAGTCGACCGACGTCGAGCCGCGCCTGGGACTTCAGCCCCCCAAGACGTCGGTTCGCGTGCGGGTCTGATAGGCGTATTACCGCGCGTACCCCCTATGCTACAACGAACAAGAAACGCCCTCGGCTGGTCCACCTCTGCGATTGCAACCGAGTAACTTTCGTACTGTGGACTGGTAGCTCGGCGGGGATACACCCACCGAAGGGAGGTGACAACTCCCGTAAGGTGGAGGTAAGTTGTGCCTCACGTAGGCCCTATCCTGTCGTAGGGGCTCGCGAGAGGTATGGCTGGCGCACTCGGCCGGAGCGGCCTAAGGAAACTTCATTTGTGGGTTAGCGACGAGGTTGGTCCAACTCCTGCGTGACGCGGCCGAGAGGGTCCCGCGCTACCGCGTGCGGTGCAGGACCGATGCGCTCGACAACGGCCCGCACACGTCACAGTACACTCCCGTGACGAAAACTGTCCGACGTGGCATTATGAACGGGTTGAGAACCGCCGGCATGTTAAAACCCCCGCCACGTCACACTACACCCCCCCTCCACGGCGCAGATGATGGACACCGTGAAAACCACCGCCAAGTGGCAAGGAAGTACTCCGATCACGGACCGGGAATCCGCTAGCTAGCTGCGACGAGCTAAAAGCGGATCCCTCCGTGGAGATAATGGCGAGCAACTAGAGGCGGTTTGAAGAACGTGTAGTAGAACGCCCCCGTATCCAACCTGCCGCCGTGGTCCTAGGCAAGGTTCTCGACGAAGTGCTGGACAATGTCACTAACAATGTCACCCTCGACCAGATCGTAGTCATCGGGGATGAATTCCCCCCTCTTCATCACCCATAGCAGCATGTGTGACAGCATGCGCTTCCGATAACCAAGCGCAACATCGATGTCCACAGCAGCTCTGCCATTCACGTCCATGCAGTAGAACCGATGGGAGATGCTCGTTATCTCCGGCCCAAACGCATCCAGTGGCCGGTTCAACCACCCATCTCGCTCTCTCCGCCTCTCCCAACACATCA